TATACAGGCCGGGAGGCCGCTGGCTTGCTTGGCTGCCTGGGCACAAGCTGGCGCTCTACCCTCCCATCCTTTGCCACGGGGGACATTCTGCAGCAGAACAGAAATGCCACCATGTCACTGTTTCCTGGTGCCGTGGTGTCAGAGGCCTGGGTGCACAGGTCCTGCCGGAGATCTCAGATGTAGTCCTGCTCCTGGTGGGGCTGGTGTCCCAGCTGGAGCAGGGGACTGACACAGCAGCTCCCTGCACCTCCCCCGTGCCCCCCAGGCACCCTGACATGCTACTTATCCCTGGGGCCATGCACACTCGGTGCAGAATGCCCAGGCACAGAGCCCTAGGGCTCAGGTCAGTGGGAGCTGCAGACATGCCCCTATCTGGCCGGGTGCTCCCAGCTCCTGGCTTGCTGAGGCAGGGTTGGGAGAGGCCATGATGCACCCTGAGAAGGGAGAGGGCATCAAGGGCAGAGGCAGATGGGTACCAACTCCGTGCCATGAACAAAGCCTGCCCTCACTCCTGGTTCACCTACAGAGCACCATGCTGCCACAGGCTACACACTCAGCAGGGAGGAGACATCCTCAGCCACAGCCAGCAGGACCATGCATGGGGAGCCAGTCAGCCCCTCCGCAGAGCACAGACTCCTTGTCCCCCCTCCCAGACCCACTGTCCCACCTTGGAGGACATCTCCTGATGCTGGGGGACATCTCCTGAGATGGATGCTGAGCCTTAGACTGCCCACCCTGTCACCCAAGGAGATGGGCAACTGGTGTGGGTCAACCTGTGGCTCTTCCCAAGCTCTTCCTACACAGTGCAGCCCACGAGCCCCAGTGGCCAGGCTCCCGGGGTGCCCACAGAGGTCAAGAGCTGCCAGAAGGAAACCATGCAACCAGATTCACGTAGCAAGTGTCTCTTCAGCGGGTTTGCCCCTACGTATAGGTGCATCTACTGAATATATACATGCCTTAGCAATAGTATACTGGAAACTGTGCCACGCATGACTTGATGGTGCTGAACTAATGCATACAAAAGTACGGAGGGGTCCATGTACCCTCTAAGTACAAAGTTCCTCCTGTCCAGCCACAAGAGGGTCCAATTCTGCGGCATGGCAGGTAACCTGCTGGGGCTCCTGCTGGGTGCATGGCTCTGGCACCTGCCCAGTTTGCTCATGGAGCTGCCGGATCTGGGAGGATGGACTTGTGCCAGGCTGCTGTGGGATGCTCAGGGCAGCAGAGTCCAGCCCTGGCACTCCAGCTGAGCTGTGATCCCTGGGCCCAGAGCCATGGAGGGACGGGGTGCCCATGGCTTCATGCACATGGGCTGTTGCAGGCTTGGGCATCAGCGAAAGCTCTGCTATGTGCATTCCTCTCCTAGCAGGTGAAGACGTAGGTTAACCCTGGGAGAGAAGGACTGGTAGATTTCCCGTTGGAGGTGAAAGGTGCTTACATTCTGCTGCCAGCTGCTGCACAGCACCTGCGGGGCATCCAAAATGCATTTCATGGGCAGTTGAGCAGCTCTGGAGTGCTGTGTTTTTGATGACCTCCTCATCAAACAGCTGGGAGTAGGTGAGAGGTCGGTAAGAGGATGTCCCCTCGGCTTGGCTCATGCCAGGCAGGCAGCAAGGAGCTGGGAGTGCTGTCAGGCTTCTCTCTGTGCAACCAGGGTCTGACTGGCAGGGATGGGGCTTCCTGCCCCTCCATGTGGCATGTCCAAAGCCCAGAATACCTAGATAGTTTTTGGTTTTGCCCTATAGTTGCACAGCCTTCTGTGAGCCAGTGGCAATCCCTGGTCCTCCTCAAGCAGGTAGTAGCTGCCAGACAGTCCCTGCTCTAGCAGGCACATACCCATGTGCATCCCTTCTCCAGGCACCTGCCCCATGCATGGGCCAGCAGTTTCCACAGAGGGAAAATCCAGGTGTTGTTCCTCCCCTCCAACCAGGGGAGAGAAGCCACTCTGTCCTGGTTACTGCTAGCAAGAGCATGCTGTGTCAATAAATAACCCTCATCTTAGCTCACGTTGCTCCCAGGCTTATCTCAGCAAGCGAGTCGGAGATCCAAGTTGTCCCACGCTGTGGCTCTCCTTGCTGCCCTTGGGGTTTTCCTCTGAGGCTTCACTGTACAATGAGAACAAGACCAGCTGCCCGCGTTTTATTGCTAAGTCCAAGTGAAGTGGCTTCGGTTTGCATATGGGGCTCCTCTGGGGATGGGGTGGGATGGGGACCGGGCTGGGAGGGAGCAAAGGGTCATTCTTCGCTGGATGACTCTTGGAGGAGGCGATGGATGTCCTGGAAGGAGGGACGGTCTTTAGTGTCCCGTCTCCAGCAACTCAGCATTAGCTTATAGACTGAGTCAGGGCAAAGTGCAGGTTGGGGAAGGTAGGTCTTCAAAACAAAAAGCAAAGATGACAAAGGGAGAGAGTTACTGCCATGTAAAACAACAAGCAAACCGCTCCTGGGGAGCCCCATTTCTCCATGCACAGGGGTGGGGGGCTGTGCCTCTGTGTGTTTAGGGGGAAGGGGACCCCCAGATAGCACAGTGGGGCCTAGGGACACCTGCTCACGTCTCTCAGCCTGTAAAGGTAAGCAGGCACGCAGTGCCTTGGGCTGTGTAAAGTGCAGGATTTGCCATTCTGAGCCCTTCAGCAG